AGACGGAAAGGTGATCACATTCCGGGCGGTGTTTAAGATGGTTTTCAGGGCCGATTCGATTGCTGTTCTAGGCGGTTTTGGTAAAATAAAGTTTAGAAACTGGGGGGATAGAGATGGTTGGTTTCGAGGATGGTATAATGCAGGTGGTAGTTGTTTGGAGGCAATGAAATGATGATGTTCGAATGGAGCAGGTTGTACGAAGGTGCTTCCGACTGAGGTGGGTTTTCCGATTTGAAGGTAAGGTTTCAAGTGGGTGTTGTTTGCGGTTTGTGACGATGAACAAGGGTGCAACAAGGGTGTTCCGATGGTGGTGTAACCCGTCAAAGGAGGAGGTAGGAAGCTGCTGGTGGGTTTTAAGGTGGTATAAGGTATATGATTGAGGAAGAAGGGTGGAATTGGGAAGGTAGCGATGGAAGTATGGTGTTTGAGAGATGCAGGTGGTGTTCATCTGATGATCTGTTAGGGTAGGGGTATGAAGTGGGGCCATATTGTTTTTTCTTTTATTTTTAAATTAAAAATAATAGTTAAAACATTAAATTAAATGGAAAAGAAATATAAAAGGGCATAATAGTCATTTTAGGTTTCGCAAGGGATGAAACTCGCAAATATCAACCAAACGAGGGATGAAGCGTGCAACTATTAACCAAACGAGGGACGGTCCGAGTTAATTTTTGAAAATAGGGACTAAACACGCTTTCCGGCATGTACACGAGAGACGAATGGTGTAATTTACCCAAACTGATTTGTCAAAATCCACCAATTTCAGATCAAATGTTAAGGAAGTAGAATTTAGTCGCTGCATAACATTTTAAAATTAATCACTCACCAATTAGTTTTTAATGGAAGCAGTAGTGCACTTGTAGCAATGCATGATAAAAAAAGTTAACTTTCTCAAATGTATCCACGCTGAAATCAGCATGGCGTATATTTCTTAAGCATAAACCTATCAAAATCTCTAGACCAACTAAATTACTGTGGGCAAAAGTGTATGGTTGACTAGAATTCACTCGCAATTAGTCATTTATTAACGAAATAGTTGTGTATTATCTTCAATGGATTTTAGATGTGTAGAGAGGTGAAGAAAAGCTGTCTCGTATTGGTACGGTTTTCTCTTTTGGATCAAACTCCAGCGGTCTTTTGGTTGTTTGGTCTTTTTTTTTACCGAACTTTTTTCGGTTTGGGTTAGAGTTTTTATATGTATAACTGTTTGTTATGATAGATATTTCTGTATATATGCACTATAATTTTTCTTTTTATACATAGTTTGAGAGTTGGTCGTTAATAAATTTTTGAAATAAAAGACATTTAGTATTATATCGATTATCAAGGTCTTTTTTCATACTGGTCTCGGTCGATCTTTTTATAGACCCGTATTTTTTCGGTTTGATTTCGTTGTAGACTAGTTTTGTCTTAGTCTTTTTGCAGGACCTATCCGAGACCAGGTCTACAATATGACGCAGTGACTCACGAGGTGGGTCTATTGTAGGATTCCGTGACTCACGGGGTGTTAGGTATATATGCAAAAAGGCTCTAATGGGCTGGATCTACATTTGAAGGTTTTTCCTGTTAGTAGACCATATTTATAAGAGTTGAGACCCAAGAGAAATTTTTAGGGCCACTTGCATTAAATACTACAAGATATGGGGGAATATAATTTTAGTGGCACAATTTGTTTTAACAACCGGTCAGTTAGAAGTTAGTGTCTCAAAGTTAATAAAATTGGTCAATTGCCCGGGATTGACAACCTTCATTTTTAATCAACACCCACACACTCATATTATATATCAGTCTAAATAATTATCAATGTAGATGTCTATTTATTTCCAAACTCGATATTTTTACTTCCCTTGATCATAATAATATAATACATATTGTTACTTAAACATAAGTTGCATCGACTTTTTGTTCACTCTTACATATGCTTTAAACCTCGAGCACATGAATACTAGCAAACGAACAAATTAGACAATTGAAAATGTGTCATCGAAAGTAAAATAGCTTGCACTGTAGTAACCGCACGATAAGGGCAAGATAACATTTACTCCATGAACTAGATGGAGATGAGCATTTAATTTGCTAACAAACGAACAAATTAGACAATGAGTTTATTATAGGGACAATGACAATCACACTCCGCTACCGTATTTAACGTTCTGACCACATCTTATATAAAGAGCAAAACCGATTTGAAACCCAGTCTCATATCAAATACTTTGAGTTTCGAAACAATTTTTTCACAATTGCAATTTCAAAATACATGAATTTTTAAATGCCTTCGAATTTGATGTTGGTGATTAGTTTTGCGAGTTACAAAGTACTTCAAATAGTTTTGTTGGATTCATAATTTTTATTTGTTTCAAAATTATGATTTTTGTTGTATATATTTGGCACTTTTGTAAATGTAATCTTGTATAAAACAAGTTATAAGAAATTTATATTGTTTTTATCAATTGAGGCAACTATTGAATAAGAAATCACCCATTGGACGAATGATGAAATTAAGAGGATAATGATCGAGAGTGCAATATTGAGGGTTACAAATAAAAAATCCAAAAGTTCTTCTTTGTGGCGATAATACTAAAATATGAAGTTGGCTCAGGAATCTTTATCTTGATCCTTACTGACAATATGGTTATAGAAAAAAATATTGTCTCTAAAACCTCAATTCTATTTATAAATTCATTATTTAAGTTGTTATTTTTCTATTTATTGGTATAAAGCCACTCGGTGTATAGTTCATCGCGGAGAGTTTTTCTAATGTAGACAACAATATCCTTCTTGTTATCATTTCCCCAAAGGTTGACAAAATGGTAGGATATGTAAAAGATATTCTTTTTTCTTTTCCATCACTTTGACACATATAAAAAAATATTGTGACGTTTCTTTTCTTACAAACAATATTTTATTTATTTTTCTTATGTATGGTAACCGACGATTCCATACCCATCTCAAAACGTGAAATTTATAATCATTTGACATGGCAAGAATGCTACCATTGATATACAAGAAAATCTTGTAGATTTAGGTAGTGAAAATACTCTGATTTACGTAGATAATGTCATGTAAATATATAGGACATTCATATTGGGATGTTTGTCTTACACCTTGGTTCTCCACAAAACGATTTCAATTGCATATCGGGACAAAGTAATATCGTTAGACCAACACTAATGGACAAAAATCATGATTGCGGCCCTAAAGAGTAGTCCCACATCCCATCCCAAGGAGACAATCATATAAAAACAATGTACATATACCAAAAGAAGGGGCATAAATAATCATTTTAACTATCTATCTCTATTACTGATAGATTCGTCAAAATAGGTGGCCTCATATAGCGGTATGCCTTATAGTATCTTTCCATAGGTTCAAACATATAGTCCTACGTTTCATTTGAATGAATAAACCAACCCTCACAATCTCACTAATCATATTGTTCTTTTCATTATATCATATGTCGTTCATAGATAACATATATAAGTCGTAAATTTATTTATCAAAATAAAGATAAATACAACATAACTTTACCAACAGACATTGTCATTGACCTCATCAGTCAATACCAACTCATGTGAAAAATTAGTTTCCAATACATTTCTACCTGAATTGCCTTCAATACCAACTCATGTGAAAAATTAGTTTCCAATACATTTCTACCTGAATTGCCTTCAAACAAGTAGGTTAATACCTATTTTTGGATCTTTATACAACCTATTATTATTATTGGATCTTTATAAAGGATCTGCAAAATAAATTGCATCTAAAAAAGTAACGGCTAATTATAAGGGATGTCAACTTCCTGATATAATTTGAAATTAGTAGTTAATTAATCCCTCTTATAGTCTTATATCCTTCCACTCTATCAACATCACCATTTGCAGAACACGAACATCATGCACTTTTTTACTGCTTAGATATTCTTCTTCTCAGTTTGAAGGGAATTCATGAGCAAACAAGCTGCTATAAAAACATTGATGAAAAAGCTTTAAAAATTTTAAGAGTCGTCAATTTGTTCTAAGTGACAGCGAGAGTTCCATATTAGGTTATTTGTGTATATAAACAATGCAAGACCAATATATTACAAGTTTAGCAACTTATTAAGCACGGATACCTGAAAGTATATTAACTAGTTTAAAACCTATATCCAATAAAGAGTTTCGAACTTGTTCTCTAACATGATTCTCAAAACTGTTAAATGGCATGAGATTTTTGAAACTCGTTTTCTAGTGTAAATGAGAGAAAATACCACTACAAGAAAATTTCGATTTAACTACGGAAAAATTCTGTAGCAAAATGATGTAATTCCGTAGCTAAACCTAAATAACTACGGAAGTTGCTACGGAATTTGCCAATGAGATTCCATAGTAAGATTTCTTGTAGCAAAATGTTTAACTACGAAATTATAGTTCCATAGCAATTTTACTATGGCCGTTGCTACGACGTCTATCCGTAGCATTTCAACTACAACACACTTCCATCACAATTCCGTAACAATGAATTCTGTAGCAAATTCCGTATCTATTTTGTTCCGTCGCAAATTCCGTAGCCATTTGGTCCATAGCAAATTTCGTAGCTAATTGTTCCGTAGCAAATTCCGTAGCCATTTGGTCCATAGCAAATTCCGTAGCTAATTGTTCTGTAACAAATTCCGTAGCCATTTGGTCCATAGCAAATTCCGTAACTAATTGTTCCGTAGCAAATTCCGTAGCCATTCGTTCCGTAACAAATTCTGTAGCCATTCATTCCGTAGCAAATTTCGTAACAACTTTTTTGTAATCAATTCCATAACAATCGTTCCATACCATTTTTTCTATAAAATTCCGTTATTTAATTTGACTTATTATATCAATTTACAAAAATACAATTAATATAAAACCAAAAATAACAAAGTATTTCTATAGAAACTAAAAGAAATATCAAATACATCAAAATATACATATTTTAAAATCAAAATTCGCTACAAATTTAACGTAAAACATTATTCGGTACATAATATTCTATCATTGATTAATAAAAGTTTTGACATGTTCACTCAATGTGTTAATGACATTCATTGCTTGTGCAAGTTGTTGTTCAAACTTTGCTTGAACATCCACATTTTTCTGCTGAAACTCCACATTCTTTTTCTGAGCATCCTCATATTTTTGCTGAACATCCTCATATTTTTGTTGAATATCCTCATATTGTTCGCGTTGTGTCTCAACTAACTTCTTCAAATTCTCAATCTCGACTTTTGTCTCGGCATTATTATCCTCGTATTGTTCGCGATGCATTTCAGAAGATCCTTTACTAGAACGAATGCGCTTTCCATATGAGCCAAATCCATATAATCTCTTTTTTCGATCATGTCCCCCAACAACATCATAAAATAGTTTGTCCTCATCAATTTCCTCTCCTATTGCTTCCAACCGATCACATCGTTCCATAAAATCATCCTATAATTTTATAATTGTGTTGAGATAAAACTTATACAAAAAAAAATCAAAAAAAATTTACATGAAATTATTAAAAATAAAACTTACATGAATTTTTTTAGCTTTGTCAACTAAAAAAGTCACTCCATCGTGATTCTTAGTGTGTGTATACAAGAATAGTTCATGGTGTGCCAGATCATGTCCCCAAAGCTTCTTCTACATATATACAAAAAAAAATCAATATTAAAGTAGATTGCTATTTTTACATTTAGGCTTAGATATTTAAAAATGAAAAAATAGCAACTTACTTTTAGGCTAAACCCATTTAAAAATCAAAATGGAACTAGATTGCTATGATACAAAAGTAAATGAAAGTAGATTGCTATTTTTTGCATTTAGGCTCCACTCTTTAAACATGAAAAATAAAATAATATACTTTTTAGGATTAGTCCTCTTAAAAATCAAAATGGAACTAGAAAAACTATAACATACAACTAAATGAAAGTACATTGCTATTTTATGTATTTATGCTTAGTCCTTATAAAAATCAAAATAGAACTAAATAATGGTATTTCTAAATGAAAGTAGATTGCTATAATATAAAATTAAATGAGTACTTACTAAATCAGAAGCAATCTTGGAATGAGAAGCCGATCCACCGGTATGCGTAGAAAGGGCTTGTCCATCAGCTACACCTCTACGCCTATTTTTTTTGTTTTGTTCTGATTTCTTCTTGAACTCTTCAGTATTCCATCTTGTAGTCCAGGATGTCCACACTTCCGATGTTGTATTAACAGGTTTGTTTTAGAGTCGACTTTTTCCATTTTGAGCTTATATTGTAGATATATTGTCTATATCTTTCTTTTGCCTTATTTTCCTAACAAGCTTGGACTAACGGAGTTTTTGCTTCATCCCAATGACACTTTTTCTACAATACAAAATATATAGATGAGTTTTTTAGTTAATGAGTACCTAATAATTGCATAAACGAGATACATACATGAAACTCGTCCCAATAAAGGAGTTTTGTCTCGTCACTTAAAGTTGCCCAGCTATACCCGTTTAAATCAGCTCTTTCACCAAAGGATTCATAGATAATGGAAGAACATGGGCCCGAAGGAAATAACCTACAAACGAAAAAATTAACAGCATTGTAAAAATCATGAAGTTCAATGTTGATAAAAATGTAAGTATTTTAACTTACTCCTTATCTCGCACTCCAATATATAGACGCCCATCCAGTCCAGTAGATCCAAGTAAATACCCTTGATGTTGAATGCCAATATTTTCCTCAACCGATTCACTACCATTTGTTGTGGATCTAGGTATAGATGATGTAGTAGATACAACTGTAAATGATTGGACAGATGTAGATACAGATGATTGGGTAGATGATGTAGGTAAGGATAATTGGGTGGATGATTCATGTGTTGATGATGTGGCACCCATAGTACCAACATGTGAAACAAATGCTGGGGCAGATACAGTACCAACAGATGATAATGTGGTACAAGATGATGATGATATATTACCAACATATTTTGCATCATCGGTACGTTTGTTTATGAAACGTACATTTGTATGTTGCTTTCATTTCAATGTTTCTCTTAATAAGAATTGTGACATCTTTCCTGAAATTTTAAAAAATTAGGAAGTTATAAATCTTTAGGTTCACAAATATTATTCAAATATCTTACTGAAAATTTAAGCATACTACTTTTTACTTTAAAATAACAATGTACTTTTGCTTGCTTATTTATTTTAGCATCCTATTTTTTTACTTTGAAATTTTTACCTAATTGTAGCAATGTGAACTAAATACAAAAACTAAAAGTATAATGTAAATACTTTAATGAAAGTAGATTGCTATTTAGACTTAGCCCTTTAAAAATGAAAAAAATAACAACTTACTTTTAGGATTAGCCCCTTTCAAACTCAAAATGGAACTATTTTCTAAAATACAATGTCATAGTAAGTATAAAAGATAAAACACAAAGCTTAAACATGATAGTTTTGTTATCACCTGGATTGTGTTGGGTTGGATTGGATTGGAGTGAAGTAGAGTGGATTGGAACCTGGAACAAAGAAGAACAAATAAAACAAATAAACTTTATCTCAACAAAAGAAAAACAAAGAAAAAGTTAACAAAATATTATTTGGGAAGATGTTCCATAACAAAGCGTTATGGAACAAGACACATTTACTTTATTTTCAGAAAAATTTATCAAACCTTATGAGACATTTCCGAATTCTGATAGTTAAATTGTAACTACACAAAAAAAGAAATTGCATTTTAGAAAGTATAGATGTTAAGGTACATTACATGCTATTTGCCTACAAGAAAAGACTGCATATTAACCAAACAAACCAAAAGACTTAAGTACTCTTCTCTTTCTTTCTTTATCTAAAAAATTGCAATAAGGTAAAAAAAAAGCTAGATTATGTGCACCAAACAGAGCCTAAATAACAAATAAATAAATAGATGAAGAAAGAAAGAAAGAAAGAAAAAGCTTTCAAAGTATAACAGAAAGTAGGAAATGAAAGCAGTTGGGGAAAATGTACAAAATTTTGGTGGGCCATCTTCAACAGGACCTTTATGAACCTGTTAAAACATATCAAAAAACCATTACGCGGATATGTAAACAAGAATAGAGGTCACATTATAATTTTAATTGTAATGAGCATTGACAGTGTGAGAAGAGCACCTCATTTTATATACAATGTAGACCTAGACAACCTATAAATATGATTGATAAGGACTTAAATGTAGTTAACCTAAAATGTTTCCTTTTGACTTGATCTGGCAAGCTATATATGGGTGTTTCTTTTAGACATAGTGAGGAAAGAAAGTTTTTCCCATTAAGTCCTAACTATAAATATGATTAATAAGGACTTGAAACAGGGGAAGCTGTTGCTATAACGAAAGTGCTACAGGATAAAAGATACAAGAACAGAGAGCTACAAATCATGCGTTTATTGGAACATCCAAATGTTGTTCCACTGAAAAATTGTTTCTATTCAACAACCGACAAAAAGGAAGTGTATTTGAATGTTGTATTGGAATATGTACCTGAAACAGTCTACAGGATGTCAAGGCATTATGTTAGGATGAATCAACACATGCCAATGTTGTATGTACAATTGTACACATATCAGGTTAGATCACTCTCTTACTAATCTCTTTTAATTAAACTTAATTAATCTTGTAATCTCATTTTATATCTGTCTTTGTCTTTGTTGATCAGATCTGTCGTTCGCTTAACTACATTCATAATGTGATTGGTGTATGTCATCGTGATATTAAGCCACAAAACTTATTGGTAAGAATGGAAACACATGATTTGTAGCTCTCTGTTCGTGTATCCTAATTTAACTCTCGATCAAGCTTATATGTATATAGATATCATAGAATCAAGCGAAATAAAAAGATAATCAAAGCGAAACAAATTCATAAAAAAAGTGAAATTATCAGCTATAAAATACAGAAGAACGAAGAAGAATGTTACCTGGTAGGGACGATCGAGAAAAATCTACTTATAGAGTGATGTCCGATCGATAATGGCGTAAGTGGAGATTGGGGGAAACTGAGGAATGAGGAATGCGGAATTAGGTCAAAATAATGAGTAAAGAGCAAAAGTCCAGCCAATTGAATACTGCACAATAGTACCTTCCAATTTTCCGAGATCGACAATTTTCAGATTTGGGATCGGCATAGTTTTTGGAACAACGGCAGCAGGTCACGATCGACTGTTTTCTGATCTGGGGAAGAAGTATATTTGGATCATGTGATTTGACCCATTTTCCCTTAATAAGATTACTTCTTTCTCAATTTTCTGCGGTTTGAACCTTCCAATTGAATACTACACGTTTTTTACCCTAGCAACATATGCCCTTTATTTGTTTTATTGGTAAATCAATATGTGAAAGGATTTAATTTTAAGTCATTATCTTACTGTGTCTTTTCTATTTTTTAAAATTAAAAAAAAAATAGAATTACAAATATTCAAAAAAAAACATTTGGCCAACAACAATCAGACAGTGTGGGGTTTCAAGCAATACACCATTGCTCATGAACACATGAAGATTAAATTTGTAAGATTGTGATTTCTTATCAATCATTATCAAAGAATTATCTTTTAAAAAAAAAATTGTGGTCATAGATTTATAAGAGGTTTATGATATCGTTATTCTATAGTTTTCATCAACTTTACACACTATTAATCCCCCTTCTCGTACATTGTTTATATTTAATAAACAGGTCATATTTTAATAACTTAACTTTATATTGAAATTATTTACTTTTACACATAATTAAAATTCAAATATTTTATTTTATAAGATTTATTCTATATAAATAAAAACATCAAATAAAGTAAAAATTCTCAAACAAATACATTAGTGTATAGAAAATAAAAATTACAATCAATCATAAATTTATAAAAAAAATAAATAAATAAACCTTGTTAATTAAATTATTAATATCAATTAAATATTAATATCAATTAAATATTAATAACATCCGACATGATACCTATTATACATATTAATTAACCAGATCTTTTTAGTTAAAAAAAAGAGTAAAGAAATACATATATTTGGCTTACCAGATTAAGTCGTATTTCATTATAGGTTCATTAAGTATAAAAGAAACAATAACATCTCGTAAGCAATTTCAAAAGGTCAAAAATAAAACTAAACATGACATTGCTTGTTCCAATGGATTCTTTGTGTCGAAACAAGTCTTTTCGAGTATTTAAAAATGAGAGAACTACTCAAAATAACTAAATTTTCTTCTTGATTAAAAAAAATTAATCACCTAATTCTGATTAAACAAAATGTGATTTTATTCTACATGATTTGGAAACATTGTCTTATAATATCAACTTTCTTTCAACTAATTTTATATCCTTCTTCATCAACTTGAAACCTGCTCAAGGAAAAAAAAACAAAAATAAATATCAAAAATAAAATAGAAAAAATAGAAATTTGAGTCAAATGTTTTGTGTCTAGAATCAAAAGTGTCACAGAATCAATTGAGAGATTAATATGTGAATCAAAAGACAGATTAACATAATGATACCCACATTTTTCATTCCAATTAATAGTTTAGTTACTACAAACATTGCTTTTATGTTGTGTTGAATCAAAAGGGCATTTAGGTCTTTTGTCCCACCTTTCTGTCTGGGACAAAAACTGTTAGTTTTGTCCCATTTACACGAGTCTCGGTCAAAAGATATGAATTTTGGGACAAAAGATTATGAATAACAAGGGCAATTACGTCTTTTGTTCCACCTTTTTATGGTTGGACAATATTAATCAAGCAACAACATTGGTAAAAAACATTCCCTATATGATAATGACTTTATAGATATTGTCCCTCCGATAATTATATGTAACCCATAATAGCAACATTATTATTGGTAAAAAACAATGCAAGTATGTTGCTCTTTTGGTTAAAAGTACAATAAAATCAAAGGGGTAAATGAGTAATTACCTTAAGATGCTAATCCCAATCAAAAAGGTTATCTTCTTCGTCGTTGTTTTCTTCTTCATTGGTTGATGTACTATACTCAAACTCACCCTCACTTTCATCATCAAACTCACCCTCACTTTCATCATTAAACTCACCCGCATCATTATTTTCATTATCTAACTCATTGCTTAAGATTTCATACTCGACTGTTTCTGGTATAGTGGTAATGATTTCATTTGCTTCAATTTCATCTTCTTGAAAAGCAACGTCTTTTTTTCGTATTTCACTCCATCCACGAGGTTTAACTTTACATACGGCCAACCAATCAGAGTTGTTTTGTTTCAAGCTCGGGTAAGGAATGAAACAGACTTGAGTAGCTTGCATGGCTAAAACAAATGGCTCAAACTTGTTGAACTTTCTTCGTTGGTTTATATCAACCAAGTTATATTGGTTGTGAATCTTGACTCCTACATTAGGTGTTGGATCATACCAATGACATTTAAACAATGTTGTTGTTTTAATTTGAAAACCGGGGTATTCAACTTCTAATATTTCCAACAACTTGCCATAGTAATCACCAAATGGGCTACTTATACACACTCCACTATTCATTGTTGATTTGTTTGCACCGTGTGATTCTGTGTGAAACTTGTAACCATTTACAAAGTATACATTATATAATTTCACCGTCCTCAATGGTCTTCTAGAAAGATCATGTATGTACTTGTTCTTTATTTCATTTTGGCGTGCCTATATGACAAAGAATGAAATACATTAGAAGTTTCTCAAAAGAAAAGAAAACGACAATTTAAAAACTCACATAGTTTTGAAACCATGTAGCAAAGTTTTCATCCACTTCAGCAGCAATATCATCTTCACTTATATCCGGATTTAGGTCTTTCAATGACTCTTCATACTTCCTGTACATTACCATTTAAATTGTTTAAACTTATGAGATTAAATAAAAATTGACTTAAATGTTGTTCATAATACTACCTAAGGTAAGGTTGCATCTTCTCTTCATTAACCAATATGTAAGAATGGGCTGCATTGAATTCCTCATCAGTCAGACTTCTACTCTTGAGTTTCCCATATGGGCATCCAGGATATGAAAATATAGTTAATTTTTCATTGTCATCATCACCTTCAACTCCCCATCATCATTTCGAGGCACCTTTCTGTTATGTGTATGAACATTAGGCTCAAAATAGTGAGAACAAAAGTTTGATGCTTCACGAACTAAGTATGCATTGCAAATCAACCCTTCCACTCTAGCTTTATTTTTCACATCTTTTTTCAACTGGTGAAGAAATCTAAAGTATAACATTTGATATGTTAACCAAGAGTGATAACTTAAAATTTTGAAATACAATATGATTTACAATATAAACCTCTCAAATGGATACATCCATCGATATTGCACGGGACCGGCTATCATTACTTCGTATGGCAAATGTATCGGCAAATGCTCCATCGAGTCAAAGAAACCAGGAACAAAGATGGTCTCTAATTTACAAAGAATTATCGGGATCTCAGCTTCAATCCTTTTCATGTCTTCTATTGTAATTACTGTTGAAGTTAAGCTTTTGAAAAAAAGACTTATCTCGGTAACTGCTTCCCACACATTTTTTGGCAACATCTCGCGGAATGCAATCGGCAGCAATATTTGCATAAAGACATGGCAATCATGGCTTTTCATTCCAAACAGTCTACATGCACTCAAATCTACACACCTCCCTAAATTTGAAACATAACCATCGGGGAAACTCAAACTCTCTACCCATTCACATATGACTTTCTTTTGCCTCTTCTCTAATGCATAATATGCTCTTTGATTTTGATCTACTTCTTTTTTCTTCTTACAATAGAGTTTCAGATCATCTCTCGCATTTGCATTGTCCTTTGTCTTCTTCTTAACATCCATTATAGTGTAAAACATATTCTCAAAAAAATTCTTCTCAATATGCATAACATCAAAATTATGTCTAATAAAGTTGGTTTTCCAATATGGTAAATCCCAGAATATGCTTCTCTTTTTCCAACCACATTTGCCACGTGATTTATTTACTATGTCGGCATTAAGTTCGGTCACTTTTAACAAACCAAATTCTTCAATTTGCCTTATGGTTTCTTCACCATTCATTCTTGGAGGAGGACTTTTTGTCTCTACACGATTCTTTTTGAACTTATTTTTATCTTTTCTATATGGATGATAAGTAGTGAGGAATCTTCTATGACAATCAAACCATGATATCTTCTTACCATTTTCAAGCCTAAAAGCTTGTGTATGTTTCCCATAATATGGACATACTAGCTTCCCAACGGTTGCCCATCCTGATAACATTCCATACGCCGGAAAATCGCTAATTGTCCACATCAATGCAGCTCTTAATTGAAAATTTTGTTTCAAAGAAACATCATAAGTTAAAACACCTTCTTCTCATAACTGTTTGAGTTCTGCAATAACTGGTTGAAGGAAGACATCTAGTTTTTGCTTAGGGTTTGTAGGTCCGGGCACAATTGCAGTAAAAAACATGTAAGGCTCTTTCATACACATAAACGGTGGCAAATTATAAGGTGTTATAATGACAGGCCAAGATGAATATTGTTTTCCTGAAGCACCATGGGGTTGAAACCCATCTGTACATAGGCCTAATCTAACATTACGTCTTTCGGCTGCAAATGAAGGATGGTTAATATCAAACTGCTTCCATGCTTCATAATCAGATGGATGACACATTACACCGACATGGTGACCATGATTATCAGCATGCCATCGCATGGAAGCGACTGTTGTTTGGGAAGCGTATAGTCTCTTCAACCTTGGAATCAAGGGAAAATAATGCATTCTCTTGAAAGGTATACGCGAACGTGTGGACGAATTTCTTGACTTTTTGTACCTTTGTGCGTTGCAAAATTTGCACCGATCAAGATCTTTGTCGCCCCTCCAATTTGGGGTTGAGGAATTGATTGACTGCTGCAGGTCAATTTATGTAGAAAAGATCTTGATCGGTGCAAATTTTGCACAGGTTTATACGAGAGCAAAAAGTTAATACATAAATCTACATAACTTTTTGACAGGTTTATACGAGGTCAATTGATTGACTGCTGCAGGTCAAAAAAATAGTTTAATGAACTTGTGTCATGACATTTGTTTGAATGTTTTAATAAGGGCAAATTAGTAAATCTACATAAATCTACTTCTTCCCCAACCCCAAATTAGAGGTAAACCCCAAATTGACCTGCAGCAGTCAATCAATTCCACAGGTAAACCCAATGCTTGTATTAACTTTTTGTTCTCGTATAAACCCAAATTGACCTCTAATTTGGGGTTGGGGAAGAAGTAGATTTATGTAGATTTACTAATTTGCCCTTATTAAAACATTCAAACAAATGTCATGACACAAGTTCAT